AGAATAATAAGGCTGTCGAAACCGCCGGTGCCCATCGCCTGGAGGACGACAACTGCAAGAAAGATCTTCAGTACGTGCTGTGAGGCGCAGGTTCTCCTAAATATTATACATTTGAGTAAAAGTTTTGTGAATTTTAGTCAAAGTTCATCAAAATTTTGTATATGATAGTTTCTTCGAAGAAACTACGAACAACTGCGCTTCGTAACGTTTAGAGCATTTCTAAAACAAACACATTGTTTGTATTGCGAAAGGTCCTCCTGATTTGTATCACGAACTGAGGCAGTTCGTTATATAAAGAAAAAATAATTTGTAAAATTAGTGCTCCAGATCCTTTGATAACGTTACAACCAGACTCTTCGTAATATAAACACTGCTGTTGGTGAGGAACTAAGAAGAGTGTTTGCACGCACCCAACAGCAACATGAGGCCGCAAGTTGCCGCCCACACCTGGGCACTCAGCACAACGAACGGGTACCGCCACGCCTCCACGGGTAGTCTGGCCGTCAGGAAGACGCACAACACGATCTGGGAGTAGGGGGCAGTGAAGTCGAAGACTTTGGAGCGCTCCACGGTGGGTAACAGACCACCCACCACCACATCGTACTGCTTCAGGGCCTTGTAGAAACTGCTTTCGTCCTTTGCCTATTTGAAAAACCGAGGAGTTGGCATAAAAATGAACTTGATCTCAGCAAATTAAACTTGAGCGCACCGTGCTGCGTACGAGCAAACATGGAAAAGCCTGTACCCCTAAACAAGATATGCCCTCACGGATGCGGGAACATATCTCGACAAAGGGTGTTGGGTGTACCTGGAGCTCTGCGCCGAATAGTCCAATGGGGTTTTTTCCTGCCGTGATCGACTTAAAGTGCACGGTTGCATTTTTGCCCGCAGCGAAGTAATCCACCAAGGAGATGTCAGTGCCTCGGAAGCCGCCCGCCGGGTCAGCGCACGCAAAGGGGGGATTCTCGAGGGACGCAACGTGGACGTCGCAGCCGTTGAGGGGATACGGTCTGCGGGGCTTCAAGAATCCAACGGCATCCGCAGTGAGGGTCTGGCCCGCAGACCACAACAACGCCAGCGTCGTCGTGGACGGGCCAAATCCACACCGCGAGCCGGGCACGAACCCCGGCCGCGACAGATATACCGGCACCGTCCGGAGATGAGAGCCGTCGCGCTTCTGCACCGCGATAGACGTGTGCATCCACCCCACGCCTCTGAGAGCCGAGACGATGGTCTCCACGTCTGCTCGGACGTCAGGGTCGCTACCCGGCCCCAGCACGGTGGTGTAGATGACGAGGATGGGCGTGACGTGCTTAAAGGGCATCATCGTGCCGCCCCCACCGAACATGGTGTTGATTAGGTCGAAGTCACCGGTAGCCGCCAGAAAAAGGACGACCAAGTCAACGTGAATCTGGTGCCATGGCTGAAGACCAAGAGAAGACGTGGTAAATTGTGGTTACTAGTAAACCGTCAAGTAATAATACACGGCGTTTAGTAACTCTTAAAACATTCTTGATAATTGACAACAGCACAAATCTTTGGTAGTTACTATGCAAAATTTGCTAGTTCACAGTTAAGAGTGCATACACCACGTTTCGCTGCGAACAAAACTCTGTAAGATTACCATTTCCCTCTCGCCACGCGCGGCGTCGAGCAAGACGACGGTGTAGTCGTCGTGCAGCGGCATCAGCTCCTGGCGACAGAGGACGTCGCGGGTCGGGTCGCCGTCGTGCGCGATCAGGAGGTGGCGGTAGCCGTACAGCGGCCGCTGCGCGTCCAGGATGTCGACGAGGAAGCGCGTCTCCGTGCACAGCGGGACAACCGACACCGCGCTCACTAGAAGCGCCACAAGGGGCAGGCTTGACGGTACCTGCATGTCTGCACTCGGTGGCGCGGGACCGTTTCACTTCAACCGGACGAACGTTGCGCTACTTACTTTGATTGCAGTTCGCAATCGACCAGGGGTGCGAAAGGGAAAAACAGGGCAGCGGGTCGATCGAGCGACCAATAGTGCAAGACGAGCGTGTTTTTGGCTCCATGAAGCTGGCCCCACCCATGCTCGCACGAATTCAACCGATAGTGAGATGATTTAGTGCCCACTAAGTGCAATCCGAATATCTCATCCGCATATTTAGTGCGACTATCCGTAGTACCCTAATCGCGCGTTAAAGGGCTCCATGAAGCTGGCGCAGCTGGTCCAACATCCCCTGTTCCGAACTCAAAAGTCGCCGCCGACTGCGGGGTGAGGGGCGTACTTCCTCATCTTTAATGTTTTTGACCGGGCTCTTTGGCTTGACCATTTACGACGCCGAGAGGAATTTTTTAAACGGACCCGTTTCTGCCAGACATTTGGGGGCAGTGGGGAGGGCGTCATGGTTCAAAACCACCTGTTGAGCTGCTCCACACCCACGCCCGGGTAATAGAGCAACAATAGACACCTTGCTCTCTGAGTAGTCAGCCCCCTCGCACGCGCTGCTCAGCGCTCATGCCAAAAATTGTGTTCAATTATAACATTAATGATTAATAGGCGAATTCAAAAAAATATTACGCAAAAAGACACATCAAGAACAAGAACAATGCAGCGAGCAGGCATGAAATGCCTACATGGCATCAATAAGCAGATTGTACGAGTGAGAGGGCGCCAGAGTTCTCAAACGGGCGGGCGGGCTCCGCCCGCCAGCCACCGAGCGCTCATCGCCAGAGCGCCCGGCCCGACCCGTCTCTTCGTCAACGGGCCGGGTGGCCGCCCGGACCGAGCCTGGCGACGGGTGGACGGTCCGCCCGCTCCGCTCGGCACTTTTTGGCGTGGCGAGAGTAGCTGTCGGCCAGCGCCGACCCGGCCGGACCCCCGCACAGGTGACTTCGGCACTATTCGGAGGTCCGGCCGGTGACTGCAGCCGCCACGCCAAGCCACAGCACCGCAGCACCGCCCGTGTACTGTCGCTCTCACTCACACACCTCAGCCAGCGGGTGGAGCCCGCCCGCCCGTTTGAGAACTCTGGAGGGCGCTATGGTTCGGCGCAAAACTGCTATATTTTGAATTAAAAAAATATTGCTCAAAACTATAAAATAGAAAATTTTCTTAACTACGGGTCCGTTTATAGTTAACAAGAATTGTTAACGTTTTTACTGTTACGTGGGGCTGCACTTCGTCATAGTCGCGATCTTTCCCTCGCTGCACTTTAAGTACATCTTTATGTCCTCCTTGGGCCTCCTGTTCTACACGGGTTCTAGCAAAAATAGGTGGTAGAAAATGTAGGTCGTACAAAATGTAGGCCGGACAACTGGTTTTGGGTTGGTCCGGAATCACAAGGTCGTAGAAACGCGGGATAGACCCATTGAGAGGAGGGGGTGAAGGGCGCGGTTTTCCCTTCTGGTAGTTGACAGTCTTGGGGACTGTCTAAGAACTCAAGACAAAACCTCACAATTTTATGAGAAGTAATTAATAATTTTAATTTTAGCTCCAGGGTCGTCCAGGGTATTAGAGTGTGTCACGCGACGAATGTGTTCGTTGCGGATATACTCGTCCAGCCAGCAGCTTGCAAACCAGTGGCGAACAGGGAGCGGACTGGCTTAGCCTGTGATGCACCAGCTCCCCACAGAAAACCAGCGCGGCTAGGGCGAGGCCAGCGAATAGGAGACCGCACACGCCGAATACCAGAAAGAAGCCATTGTGGTCGACCGTGCGAAGGCGCTCGCGGTAATTCCTCTCCATCTGCAGACCGTAAAATGGTGCTGGACACTCGTCTTACCAAAATCAATAAATACAAGGTTATGCCCGCCCCTTGTGAGAGGCCTGTAGCTTTACAATTCGTGTCAGGTTCCTCTTAATGTCGTTAAACGCCTTGATGTTGATCCCAAACTCGCGCGTCTTTGCCAGTGTGTCGTCAAGGGGCTCGCGAAGAGGTGAGCTCTTGTGGACTAGAAAAATGATAAAGAACGTGGCCAGGCTCTCACTTCTTTTGAGAAGGCTTTTGAGTTGGTCGTCCAGGAAATAACGCGGAGTAGAATACCTGCCAGACGCAAAGTCCATGGTATGAACTGTCTCATGTCAATTTCATAACGTTTTAACGTACCACATTGAGACTTCCGACATGACGAGGCCCATATTCTCCGGGTCACTCTTAATTTCCGCGGAACAGTTTCTGAAGCTGTTGCAGGTCTCAAGTCGTGGGCCGATT